ATAATTGATAATATAAAAAAGATTATCAAAGGAAAAGGGTCAAGTGGATGAGGCTAAAAGAATATTAACCCAAAGCAATACAGTGGTAATTATATACTCTCCTTAAAATAATAAAATAAAGAAGAAGAAATTTAAACCCATCAAAATTAAAAAGAAACTCAAACCCATCAAAATTAAAAAGAAATTTAATAATGAATATTTAAATAAGGGATGTTTAAATACTCTATTCCACATCAAAAATGAGAAAAGGAAAATCTCACAGTTCAACAACTAGAAGCAAAGAATAAGGCAATAGTTGAGGAACAAATACATTTAAAGCGAAGGGATGGGATTAGTCTCCCCTGAGCAAGGAGCAATAGAAAATATTTCTATTAATACTTAATTATCTACTTTTTATTTTATTCTTTTCTTTTGATTTCTTGTTTTATGACTATTTCTTTTCTTCTTTTATTGTAAATTATTCTATTTCATATATTCCTGTTTTAATTATTCCATCATTTAATTTTCTTATTAGTATATTTAAAGAGTAATAATTTCCTCTTCTTTATTTTCTTATTTTAATAACAACAAATCTTTATTATTCTGTTTTTATGTTTATTTTTCATCTTACTATCATTCATATTATTCTTTTATTTTTTCTTTCTTATTATGTACATCTATCAGTTATACATGTATATCATATCAACTAACTAATAGTATTCTAATCTTTATAATTATTTATACTTTTATTTTATTTGATATTCAATTGTCATATTTATTAATCACTGATATTCTTACAAAATTAATTATGATCTTTTATAGTCAATAGTAATGTTATAACCAGATAATAATTGAGTGAATTTAAAACATGAATAAATTATGAATGCATGTGGTATGTGTAATGTGTAATATTCTAATCTGAAATAAAAAGATAAAAAGATAAAAATAAAATAAGAAATAAAAGAAAAAGAAAAGAAAATATAATAATAATTTATACGAATAAGAAAATAAAAAGAAAGAAAAGGATAAAAAGAATAAATTACACTAAATATGAAATAAACAATTAAATATGAATGAAAATAAAAAAAGAATAAAAATAATAAAAAAGATTAATGAATTAAAATAATTGTAATATTATGAGATAATTAATATTTTGAATAATTAAAAAAGATTAACTTATACTATTATGTTACTACATTATAAGTAATGAATGGTTAGTCATAAAAGATAAGTAATAAAAAATAATGAAAATAATCAAATTGAAATAAAACAATAAGAAAGATAAATGATATAGAAATAAAGAAAATAAGAATTAAAAAGATAGAAACCAAAATTAATCTATAATATCCTTCAGACAAAAATCTTTTATAAAATAATCCTTGTACCTTTCCTTTTTATTTTTATTCTTCTTATGTTTTCTTTTTTATTTCTTCTTTATCTTTCTCTTTATTTATCCTTCTTTTCATACTCTCTACTTTTATTACCTCTTATTTTTATATTCTTTTCTTCTTTATCTTTTATTATTATTTACCTCCTTTATCATTTAGTATTTCCTCTTTCTTTTTCTTTTTTTATTATTTCTTCTTCTTCTTATTTTACTTTTTATTCCCTTTTATCTTTTCTCTTTTTATTTCTTTCTTATTTTATCTTTTCTTATTATTCTTTCTTCTATTTCTTTATTTTCTTATTTTCGATTTCTTTACTTATTCAATTATATGAAATATTCTTTGTGAATATGAATGGAAACTGGTTGAAATTGTATAAACAATCTTCTATGACAATTATTAAATTTAAATTTATTGTTTTATATAATTTCCATCAAAAATATCATTGTTCCTTCTTTATTATTATTTTATTTATTGTTCAAATTTAATGAAATGTTATTATTTCAAATTTATTTAATGTAAATATTCTTTTATTAATTTACTTTCAATTTTAATTAAATATTATGATTTTATGATGTACAATATGTTTCTTTATTATTAT